CACACGCAGATGGCGTGCTAGCCTACTTATTAACCACAACTTCACAATGGCATGCAAACCACCAAGAAAATCATACCAGACCTTGCGCGGGAGCCTGCTCTTTCTTAGGATGCGCCTTCGGAACTTTCTGTTCAACAGCGTTTGCATTCTTTAGTAGTACATCTGGACATAATTTAAACTCTAGCATGCTAGGTTTCTCTACGCTATCTTTCACAGGAAAATAGGCCTTAGGCTTATTATCCTGACTCTTCTCTTTGTCTTTACTGAGCTTCTGGGATGCAGGGTCCAATTTGGTGAGATAAATGCTTTCCCGCTCTGTGCATTTAAATGCAACTCTGTTGAGATACAGTTTCCTTTGTTCCTTTGTGTGGGGAGGCATCTGGCTAGATTCGACTTCATTACTTACAATTTTTTTTTCTAATTTGGCTTTATCAATCCATGTCTTGTCAGGCTGCTTCCCATCAACTTTCCCTTTAACATTCCTTAAAATGTTGTGTGTCTTAGCTTCCTCAGAGTGGTAGGTTTTGAGGTTTTTATCATGGCATGTCAATGTATTTACTGGCTCTTTAGAGATCTCCACACTGCTGGGCTGACTCTCATTTGATTTCCCACAACTCACTTCTTGTGCAGGGTGTTTACTGGATCCCATATGCTCAGAGCCACCCGGTACATTTTCCATACAGATTTTCCTGGATGCTTTATTCCCCATTTCTTTCTGCTTCTGCCTTTGTAAATATTCCTGCAGTGTGAGAACTCTAGGAAACTTAGCTGAGCTACCCTTCAAGTCTGAGGACTTAATAGTTGCCTTTTCTTTTACACTGGCTCCTTCACTTGGGTTTGACAGTGCACTGCATAACTTGAGTGTGCCTCCCGCCTGTTGAGTCTGCTCTTGTTTATCATATTTCTTCTTCTTTATTTCCATATCCAGTATATTCCCTTCATCTAACTTCCTTTTCTCCAAATATTTTAGTTTGGAGCCACCTGCTCTGAATTTCAATTTTTTCTTTTCTGGTGATACTGACTGTACCAAAGTACCATTCCTCCTGCACAGATCTTTACTGGTCAGAGCTGCCTGTGCTTTCAATGGATGCAAACTTTGTGGTACGTGGTTCTTCAGCAGCTTTTCCTGAGAAGCTTGTTCGTGAAACATTGTCATTTTATTATGGGAGTTAAAAGTTACTTCATGAAATGTTAGTTTTTCTTTTCTTTTATTACTTTGCAAAAGATCTACTTTGTCACGTTTGTATGAAAATCGATCACTTAATTCTCGTCTCATCTTTAGTGAGCTGTCCTGTCTTATTTTGGATGTATCTTTACTTTTGCTATCATGTTTAGATAAAAACTGCCCAGTTAATTCCTGTTCTGTCCTTGGTGAACTGTTCTGCTTTGATTTTGATGTATGTTTTATACCGTTGCCATGTTTTTTAGAAAGACTTTTCTCAGCTGCTGGAGTTAGAAAAGTCTTGGAGTTTGGAACATTATTAAGTTGGACAATAGTGACATCTCTAGGAGAGGTCCTTTCTCCTTGTTTACAACTGTTGGTTTTCAAACGAGAACACTGATCTTTCTTTTCCTCTGAAGTTGCCTTTTTGCTGGAATTACACTGACATGGGGGTACTCCTTCATAAACCATTGAGAGCCAGCCCAGTGCACAGCAATGGATTTTGTCTTTTTCTGCCTCCAATATCACAGGATCACAACTTTCTCCTCCTCCTCCTCCAGGTGCTGGTGAATCACACTGGCTCCTTACTTCTGCAATTGGCTTTTCTTTCTGAGGTTCTGCCAATTTGTGTATGTCACTGGGCTGATCATGCTCCTCGGGAAATATTTCTTTCATTTGTTCCGAGCTTAGTATTGTAATTTGTATTTTGTCTGTGGAGTCCTCAGAGTCACAATCAGTCTTACCACATCGATCCCCTGAGGTTTGATGTGCTGTTTGCTGGCCCAGAGAGTCTTTGCATGTGTTCGCAGCTTCAATGCCATAAGGAAACTCTTTTAGAAGTTCAGACAGCTGGTCATCCAACCTATACCTGCATGTGTTATCATCATGAATCTCGTTTGTCTCGGGATCTTGTGTAGTATTATTGCTGGATGCGTCACTTTCCTGAGGGCAAATATCTTGTGGAATAACATCTGATGAGCAACACACCTCCTTAGCTGAGCTTTCTTTTTTAGTGGTATTCTTCAAATTGCTTTCCTCTACAATTTCCCTATTTCCTTTGGCATCCTCAAAAGATGAAGAGTTTGTAGGCTGCAGGGACTCTGACTGGTCAGTTATTTCAGGAGGAACATCTGTGCACTGTAAAAGCTGATCTTTTTGAAAATTAAAGTCTGTATTTTTGGTGGCATCATCTACTTGCTCTTCTTGTTGTCTACTAGTTACCTGCTGATTGGATGCAGAAGGTGCCTGTGCTTCAATCTTGTTTGAAGGTGAAGAGTTGAATATCTTTGCTATTTGGGAATTATAAGATACATCACCTTCAACAAGGGTACAAATATTTTCAATCTGTAACATACTGCCACTCACCATAGTACTGTCCATTGATTTATGCAAGGTTTGCTGACTGCTCAGAGAGGAGTGCTTGCCTTGACTGGCATTAGGTGTGTCTTCTGAATTACCGTGAGTTGGCTCATTCTGCTTCTCCTGAATTAATGGGAAAACCTCGGTTAGTGTTGTGCCACCTGCTGCTGGTTCCTTAACATCAACTTCTAAAGCAGCAGTTACTGTTGTGTTTTCTGCCAACTGATTTTGTAAACTACAAATGCTATCTTCTTTAATAATTGGATATACTGTCCCAGGTAAAGTGTCAGGTGTTACTCCTTTGACAGACAATGTTTTGGCATTTGAAAGAATTAAGGGTGACACTACAGCAATCTGAAGTTCTGATCCCTTTGTAACATTTATACCTAAAGACTCACAACTCTGTGTTACCACTGACATAGCTGTTTCTTGTGATAGGTTTACCATTCTATTCTGAGAATTTCCCTCAACTGAACAAAGACTCTTAACATGAGCTTCCTCCACAGGCTTTGAAATTCCAACTGCTGTTGTGTTTGTCCTTGACTCTTATGCTGTTTTTCCTCTGAGGGTTTCAAAGCTTCTTCTTCTGTTGTTTTTGAAGGCTGCTTTTTCCAAAGAGAAAGACATGTTGCTAGTAGTTCCATGGAACAGTGGTTGTCACTTGAAGGAGACATTCCTTTTGGTGAGAATTCAGTAGGCTGAGCTGGTGCAATGCAAGAGGTATTAGCTGTTTTACTACAGCCTGCTGCCATCAAAAGATCTTTATTAATTTTAATTTTCCTGGCAAGTTCAGAAAACTTCTTTTTTATTTCAATTAATGATTTAATATCCCTCACTAGCTTTTCTTTTGTGACAGTTGTGTCCAGTACATGATTTGAAGTTGGATTGTATGAATCCACTTTTTTCTCTTGATTATTTTGAGCAAGAATCTGAACTCCAGTCACTGAAGTTCTATCTGGTTCATTACAAGGCTGTTTGGCATTGGCATTTACTTTCACGTTACAAAAATTTCCTATTGTGATGTCGTCTTCAGTAGTGTTTTGCCACCGCTCCTGAAAGCCTTTAGAAAAATCCTTCCGTGTTTCTGGACACTGAGGGACTTCCTCAGGCAAGTGTTTAACAATCTGAGTATTATGCAAAGGCTGGCTTCCATATCTACAGCTGTAAGGAAGAGAAGGAAGGGGTCTTTTGTTTGTTTCCACAGGAAACTGGTAGGATGATACAGCTGCAGTCTGCTTTGACTGTAAAGTCTGTGCATAAGTTGGAAGTTGACTACCTTGTAATGATGTAGATGGCATAAGGTTTTGTTTCTGCATAATAGGATCTTGTAAAAAGCTTGGTGACGAATAAGAATACTGCTTTGGAAGTGGTCTGTAATCTGGGTAAGTCAGTTCATTAGATGTATACTGTTGTTTCCAATTAACCTGCTGATCTGAGAGTGAGTGGTTAAATTTCTGATTTCCTTGAAATGTCATAGAACTTCCTACAGAATTTGCTGGAGTCATCTGTAGTTGCACAGGATAGGTATTTGATGTTACAAGATGACTCTGTAGAGCATGTATATGAGGCATATTAGTTCCAAAATCAGTCTGATGAGACATAGGTGCCTCTGTGTGAGAAGGTATAGAACTCCTCATTGATGAGTTCAACCATATATTTTGCATGACTCCCGAAGACATCTGAAAATTATGGTTTGGTTGTTGGGGTCCTGTAACATTTGTATATGTTATTCTTTCTACTGAAGTTTGTGAGGCCACAACTGTCCTGTTATGCATATTAGAAATAGGGATTTGAGGAGGAGAAATTTTATAATTTCTGATGTTCAGCAGTGGCTCTGAAATTGAATTTGAATTACTAGAATACATGCATGCTTGTTGGTTATTTCCAGGATAGCTGAAAGAACTCTGAGATGTTATGGGAGGCTGGTTTACTAGTAAATACTGCTGCAAAACAGATGACTGGCTTTTAGGATACAGTGGTGGTAATGTAGCACTCTCTGGTTTTGTATTCCAATTCATACTTGATCTGATATAGCAGCAATGTAGAAAAATCTGTTGTTCTGAACGTCAGAAATCTGCAAGAAATAAAGACCTTTTATGAAAATCCTTGTTTGGCCAAATCAAATCTATCATAATTACTGAAACTTCAGACTAGACAAGCCACATCTTTTATCTGGTTAGAGAAACAGTAATGGAAACTATAACAATACATAAGGCAAATGTCAACAGCATTTCTGGAATGTGTAAGAGTTCATTCTACACAACATAGCTATTGTTACATTTAAGGCAATTGCTGTCAGCTTTCTATTATTAAAAATAATATTGTTTTTTGTGCTGGAGATCAAGCCTCATGCATGCTAAGCATGTGCTCTACCAATGAGCTACAGTTTTAGCCTCTAGTTTTGCTTAGAGAAGCTCTTTAGTCTGAGCAATCCATGCTAGTTGTAAGGAAATTAAAAAAAAAAAACAAAAAACCTCATACAGTGAAAAAGTTATTACTGTCCATCCCCAATGTCTAATTTTCCAAAGACATACTTTGTCTTCTCAGAAAGTTTCTTGTAATAAATAGTATCTCATAAATAGAACACTGCACTTTTGTAGTCACAGCTACTAGATGGCTGGGGGGAGGAGGATTGTAAGAATGAGGTCTATCTGGTCAATACAGCAAGACTCTGGTCTCAAAAATGAAACACAAAGGGCTGGTAGAGTGACGAGTGACTCAAGTGGTAGAACACCTACATAGCAAGAGTGAGGCCCTGGGTTCAAACCCAGTACCACCAAAATACAAAAACACTAAAAAAGTGAAATTCTATCAAACACATTGTCTATAATTTGCCTGTTTTTCACCTATTATTCCCAGGGTATCTTAATTTCACCACAGATGTATCTAATTCACTTTTTTTATGGGTAAAAAAGGAAATGTATTTGGTCTTTGTCCCTGCTCACTGGCATAAAGGAAAACCTCTGGAACTTCCTGATTGGTAGGAACATTTTTTTGTTACTTATACTGAGCCTCTTTTGCTCACATCTGAGTTTATGTTGTTGAGATGAGTTAGACAGTCTCAGGATGGGGATGGTTACTAGTGTGTTGGAACTTTTAGCCCTACCCACTAAACTCCAGAAAGGGGTGAGAGGAGCTGAAGATTAATCTCTTCAAAGACTGAATAAATCTGGTGGCCTTCCAGGTTGGTGAGCATGTCGTAATGCTAGGAAGATGGTGTGCTCAGAGAGGTATGGAAGCTCTGCCCAAGTCCCTCCTATCTTAACCTATGCATTTCTTCCATCTGGTTGTTCCTGAGTTGTATGCTTGATGATAAACCAGAAGATGTAAGTAATATATGTGTTTCACTGAGTTCTACGATTCATACTAGGAAATTATCAAATCCAAAGTGGAATGTGTGTTTGGCTGAGGATCCTGCAATTTATAGCTAGTCAGTCTGAAGTACAAGGGTCCCAGGTGTGTGACTGGCATCAGGTGGGAAAGTCTGGTGGAACTGGGCTCTTCAACTTGTAGAATCTGATGCTGACACAAGGTAGATACAGCCAGACTTGAATGGAATTGCTAGTTACCCAGACAGGATCTGCAGAGAATTAGAGAATTATTGGCAGGGGAAAAATTCCACACATCTGATGTTAGAAGAGCTGTGTGAGTATAGAGAAATATTATTTAATTATTATTGATGGGCATTTGGCTTTGCTTAAATTTTGCTCCTATAAACTATCCTACACTAAACATCCTTAGGTATATGCTTTTATATTCATGCTAAATGTTTCTAGAAATTCATAGGTGTGAAATCAATGTGTCAAAAGATATAAACATTTTGATAGAATGAAAAATTATTTTCCAAAAATGTCAAAATAACAACTCTCATGAACATTATATTGATATATCTAAAAATGGACAACCCCCTCAAATACTAAAATAGACAAACTTAAAACCATTAGGAGATTTTAAAAGCCTTTTTCCTAATAAAATGATGGGGATACACTAACAAAATTAATCACATTTAAACACTAATAGTGTATTAACTGAAGACTATACAGTTGTATATATTCCTAATGGCTTGAAGATTTTTTAAAAAATGGGCTGGAGGTGTGACTCAAGCAGTATAGCACCTGCTTTGCTAGCATGAAGAAGCCCTGAGTTCAAACCCCAGTCCCACAAAAGAAGAAAAAAAGAAAGACAAGACTAGAAAGTATATGAATAGGTGACTAAGAAAACATAAAACAAGTATCAGATGCCACATAAACTATCCAAAATAACGTATTCACATTTTTTGTTCTATTGTTGTAATTTCCTAATTTCATTGAAACCAGGTCAATAAATATACCAGCAATATTTTTTTTATAACGTAACATTTATAATGTCATAAAAAGTAAGGTTGATACCATTAAAAAAAAGTTTTTGTTGTTTTGAGACAAGGTCTGGCTATTATCACCCAAACTGGCCTAGAACTCACAATTCTCCTGTCGCCACCTCCTAAGTGCTGGGATTACTGGTGTACACAGCCGTGCCTAACATCAACTTCTGACTATGCAATGCTGCAGGAAGAAATGCAAACCCAGGAGAAACTCTGCTTTGAATTTTGGTCTTTTTCCAGGCTAAAGATATGTTGTACAATATTCTTTCCTAACGCTGCTGGGGAGTCACAGCTCCTAGCCAGTCACATGCTAAGAAGAAAAACTACAGATACTCTCTACAGTGTAAGGTATTGCCATTGTTTTTTGGATATATTATAAAACAGGCTTTCTGTTAGATGATTATGCCCAACTGTAGGCTAATGTTAGTGTTTGAGCGCATTTAAGGGGGGCTAGGCCAAGGTACAGAGTTTAATATGGAAAGTGCACTTTTTTCTTCATCTTCTTTTATTAGAGTAATTGGACAAAATAATGATTTATGAGCTTAGATGCTCCACCCCCCTTCTCTGGCAGTACTGGGAATGAAGTCAGGGCTTTGGCACTTTTAGGCAAGTGCAGCATTTTTAATATTTTCAATTTATAATGGGTTTATTGGGAAGTGACTCCATCTTGAGTTGAGAAGAATGTCTTTAAGAAAATGAAAGATGCATAAGATCTCATTAAAATTAACAAAAACCTAATATGCTGTGTTTGAATATTTAAAAGACAACACTAAAGATGCCAATTATCTCAAAATTTACCTACAGATTCAATACAGTTCCAACAAAAAGGCCCTAAACATTTTCTTTGGCACAAATGAGCCAATTCTAAAATCTACATTTAAGGCTGGGGATATAGCTCAGTGATTGTTTGCCCAGCACATTTGAGGTCCTGGGTTTAATCCCCAGTGACACACACACAAAAAAAACCCACAAACCAAGAACAAAACTATATTTTACTGGGTGCCAGTGGCTCACATCTATAATCCTAGCTACTCAGGACCAGCAATCAGAAAGATCACTGTTTGAAGCCAGCTTAGGCAAACAGTTCGAGAGACTATGTCAAAAATATTCAAAAGGGCTGATGGAGTGGCTCAAGTGATAGAGTGCCTGCCTAGCAAGAATGAGGCCCTGAGTTCAAACCCCAGTACTACCAATAAAATAAACTAAATAAAAAATTCAATACAGCTTGTAGTTTAGATATTGAGTGCTATAGTTTTCATTAGGGTGGAACACTTCAACTGCATATGCCAGGGTCATTTTCTTCCTTTCCCAGGAACTTCTTTGGCCATATTCTACTACTTATCATTTTCTGAGAAGTGCTTCATGTATCTTGAAGTTATCCAATGTCTTTCCTACAAGATAGCTTGCTACCTTGCATGCACCAGTCTAAATTCTTGATCAAGAACTGATGTAAACCTCCGCTGTGTGACTTCTGCCTTTAAAAATTTGTTTGAAATCTGGAAGACCTGGGAGCACGTGTTCGAGGCTGCCAGAATCTGCTTCCTGAAGGGCAACTCTTAATAGCCCAAACGAACTCTTTGCTTCAGTCGATTTGTGCCTTAGTTTCTCTTAAGGGTCAGAAGTTTCTATAAAAATAGCACAAGCGATTATCTTCATGCCCTCCAGACAGGGGAAGATTTGTGGACAGGGCACAATAACTACTAGCCACATGAAGATTTGTAAAGCAGATGGCACCACGATTAACAGCCTCTATCAGAAAACACCACTGAAGAACTGAAAAAGAAAATCACTGACTGGGAAAATACGCTTGTTATATATAAAACCAAGAGCTTACATCTAGATAATTCCCACCACCATGGCTGAAATCTTTTAAAAAGATAGTATCAAATGTTGGCAAGAGAAGTACAGCAAATGGAATTCTCGTACAAGATCAGCCAAAACTGCTGTTTTATAAATGTGTAAAACCACTCTGGAAAGCTGTTTGGTATTACCTACTAGGGATTAATAAATTCCTACCCAAGATTCGAAAGTCTAGGTAACTTGAAACAAAAACGTATGATGATCAAAAGTATTATGTATAGCACACAAAAACTGGAATTGGAAATAACCTAAATTAGCAAAAGAGAAGTACATTCACATAGAGGAAGGTTACAGAATGACAATGACCAAACACAGCTATACACAACATAGATGAGTCTTATGACATTCTGAGTAAAAAAGAGCTAGACATGGAAGAATGCTGCACAATTCCATGTGTATAAAATATGAATAGAGGCAAAACCAATTATCTGGACTATAATCCTACAGATTATAGTATAGTGACCACCTTCAACCAGGTAGAGATAACATGAGAGTTTTTGACCCAAGTAATGCTTACACAGGTATGTTCCCTATGCGATAATCCACTGAGCTACCATTTCTGCCCTTAGGGATGTTTTGCTTCTAATACAAGATTTAAAAAAAAAAAAAAAAACCCAAAAAACCCCACAAACAAATCCTTGCTGTGGGAGGCTCTGGGTTCAATCCCTACAACCCTGAGTTGGGGAGAGGGAGGGAAGGAGGGAAGGGGGGGAGAGAGAAAGAAAACACACCCTTTTGTAATAGTGGAAATGTGATATAATATACAGCAAATCCTAATGTAAGCTATGTAATTGTAACAAATGTACTGCACCAATAAAATGCTAGGGGCCAGAGGCATGGCTCAAGTGGTAGAGCATGCCTTGAAAGTATGAGGCCCTGAGTTCAAACCAAAGACTATAAAAACAAAACAAAACCTGAACAATATGCTAGCTAATCTCATTGCTGTTACAGCACTCTCACCTTGTTAGGACGGTGTCCTTCACCCTACACTCGTCTGACTAGGCTACAACATTAGAAGCAGAATGGACCACAGTGGTCACTGACAAAAGAGTAAGACTGAAGAACTCATGCCTTTCTTTGGATTACACACAAGGTCTTAAGGAGAAAGATCTGTGTATTCCCAATGTGACTTCTCCTAGGACAGTCCTTAGCAAGACAACAGACTGGTCAGGCAGAAGTGCAATCTAAGAAGAAAGCAAAACTTCTAAACAGGGTGAGGTCTAATAAGCCACCCCCAGCTTTTATGGGTACTGGGAGGGAACCTGTTTATAGACTAATGGTGAGTTCCCTCAAATTCCTGTTGAAACCCTAACTGCCAATGTATTTGAAGACAGAGCCTTTAAGGAACTGAGGTTAAATGAGGTCATGGGATGACAGGAGTCCTTTTTCCTTTCAACAGGAGTCAGCATCTCACTAGAGATGTTAGCACAAAGAAGGACCATGTGAGGACACAGTGAGAAGGTGGCCTTCTGTAGGTCAATGGAGAGAGAGGAGCTTTAGGGTAAAAGAAATGGAACACTGATCTTGGACTTCTGCTTTCTAGAACCATGAACCCTGTCTATGGTATTCTGTTATGGCATCCTGTGGTAGAAAGAAATCTGTATCTCATTTCTGTCTCCAGTTCCCCAAATCCTTGCACATACAGAACCTTTGGCCTTTAAGGCGGCTCTTCAAAACGTTGCTTCTTTTCTATTCTTTAGTCTCTTTCCTTAGACTTGCACTGTCCCATGTTCTCTTTAACTTTTCTTTAGCTTAGCTTTTCTAAAGCCAATGTATAAAGTTCTCCGTGTGGAGACACAGTAGCATCAGTGGCAGCAAATCAAAACCCCCCCATTAAAAAAACTTTATGTCCTCCTTTTTTTACATCCAGTGGTACACAAAGAGGTGGAGCAACAGTTCTCAGGGAGGGGCATGACACTATAACAAGAGAAACCTGCCTTCCTGCTTCTTTGAAAGTAAACAATTGAGGAAAAGCAGCTGTGCTTCATCTTGCACTCTTCTGCGGCCAGCAGGGGCCATGCCAAAGTCAGCCTCATTACTGGGCTCAGCTGTGTTTAATATTGGGTTCTCACAGCCTTCTCATACTCCACTCCCCACAGTGAGGGACATAAAACAGAGCTGAAACTTTTCTGAAGAATGCCTGACACTTGCACAATTTCAGACTAACAGATAAGGATGATAAGTCTCAGCAGAGCAGTCTCTACCTTTGGAAACAATGTATTCTTGGGATTTTTGAGAATAAAAATTACACTAGGGTTTACAGAGCCCAACATTGTAATTTCTCTCTGAAAAAGGAAACTCTTTTGCCCTGAAATACCTGCCCACCCTAGCACTCCACACCTGTGGCAGATGTGGTGCTCACCTAACAAAACTTCAACTGTGGCTGAAACTTAATAGTCTCTTTCTGGCACTGGGTATGGTGGCACACATCTAGAATCCCAGCATTTGGCAGCAGGATCGTGAGTTCAAGGCCCGCCGGGGCTACACAGCAAGACACTGTCTTAAAATGAAATCTCCATTCAGGCTGGGGTTCAGTGGTAGAGTATTTGTCTAGAATGTGCAGGGCTGTAAGTTTCATCTTTAGCACTCCTTCCTACCTCCTCCCTTTCCCTAATCACCTTCTCTGCAGAGAATAGCTAAAGTTTTTTTGAGAAAAATCACAAACATCTAACTCAACACTGCTTAACAACTCTATTTCACTTTACTGATCCTCCTGATGTCAGCCTCCCAAGTAGCTAGCACTGGTTATTTTTGGAAATGGGATCTTCCAAAGTATTTGCCTGAGCAGGCCTCAAACCTTGATCCTCCTGATGTCAGCCTCCCAAGTAGCTAGGATTACAGATGTGAGATCTTATTCCCCTTTCTTTTATTCCTGATGTCAACCTCACTCCACTTGGTCATACATATAAACACATGTACCCCACAGTACAAGCCTCTAGTACTGTGAGCATTCAACAGCACATTCCACACTCCACCCACACCAGTGACAGTCTTGCCTCTTCAATGCCCTTGACAGAGTGGACCTTTAATTGCTGTTTTGTTGCCTATCCTGATCACAAGGTTCTGAAATGTGACGGGACAGTTATGCACCCATTATCCACAACAAACAAACAATTACTACACTACCACAGTGTCATTCTTCACTGCGTTTCCTCCGATGCCCATTCCCCCTTTTCTTTTCTCTTTGAGACGGTGTCTTGCTGTGTAGCTCAGGATGGCCTCTAACTCACAGCCAGTCTCTGGAATGCTGGGATTACAGAGGTATACCACCATGCCTGGCTAAGACACAACAATTAAAACGTATATACCTAGGAGTACCAAAACACAAGATGCAAAAATACAAAGAAACAATTTGCTGATAAAAGACAAAGACTTCAATTCCCTAATTTCAACTGTAAGCAAAATAGGCAGAAAGTCAACAAGGAAACATGTCTTGAATGCACTGTACAAGCCTAATTTCTCTTTAGTGAGAGTTAAAAAAAAAACAAAAACAACACAAAAGCCAGAGTACCTTAACTTGTAGGTAGGTGGCTAGTTGGTCATTACTTGCCTTGTAGGTACAATGTTGTCTTTTCAGTCAGTTCCAAGAGTCGAGCACTCTCGTCAGTGGAGAAAGGTCAGCAAGCAGCCTGCAACAAGATCAGATGCCATCAAAGATTTTTTTTTTTTTTTTAAGTGGCACTGGGGTTTGAACCTAGGGCTTCATGCTTGCAAGGCAAGTACTCCACCACTTGGGCCATGCCTACAGCCCCCACACATACATCTTCATGGGGAACAGTGTGCTAATTCCACCCAGGTAAATAATACTTGATTATCCAATCAGGGCAATGAGCACTTCCACCCCCTGAAACACTGGTAATTTTTATGTTTTGGAAACTTTCCTATTCTTCATCATTTTGAAATACATCATAAAAAAAAAATCAACAAAAAAAGATGAAATATATCATAAATTGTTCAAACCAAGTTACTCTACTGTGCTACTGAAAATCAGAACTAAGTTGAGCATAACGGTATGTGCCTGTAATCCCAGGACTTGAGAGGCTGAGAAAGAACAATTTTAAGTCTAAGGGCAGCCTGGATTACAGAGGCTTTGATTCAAAAGAAAAAGAAAAAACCAAACCCCAGAATTCCTATGTAATTTTGTCATAGTGTCTCATCTGTCCTTCAGCCCTCTCCTCCCTGCCCTTCTCCAATGACCACAATTCCACCTCTTCTACGAAACTGACTTTTTAATTCCATGTAGGAGAACATGTGATGTCTTTCTGCACCTGGCTTATTTCACCTGTGATAATGGCCTGCAGTCCCACTATTTTTCTTATGGTGGAACAGTATTCCATTGTGTGCCACATGGCATTTTCCTTATCCAATTCATCCACAAATGGGCATCTTGGCTGACTGCGTATCTTGGCTACTGAAAGCACTGTATTCTTATATTCTGCTGTGCAAACTTCCCCTAAGAATATTCTCCTTGTGATTGGCTATAAGTAAAAAGCAAGACTTAAAACTTTGACCATAGATATATAGTAGTTCTCACTTATTCACGGTTTTGCCTCCCTGTCTGAAAACATAAAAAGGAAAATTCCAGAAGGAAAAATTGCTAAGTTCACAATATGTGCCATTCTGAGCAGTATGATGAAATCTTACACCATCCTCCCAGCCATGAATCATCCTTTTGTCCAGGTACAAATGTATCTACGCTGTATCCGTTACATACCTTTAGTCACTCAGCATCAATTCAGCCATTGTCTCAATTAGCTATGACTACCTGTCAATGCTTGTATCCAGGTAAACCTAATTTTACCTTTTTTTT